CCTTTCAAAGTCTGAATCTCGTCATAGGTTGTGAAGTTAGGTTCATACGATATACGGAGGATGGTGCTCTGTGTCGAAAGTTAGAAATAGGTTGGCAAAAGTTAAATTGAAAAGCGATTTCTCGCAGTTTTATTTTGTTTGACATATTTTTTTTTTTTTTTTAAATAAGAGAATTTTGTGCTGAGAGCTTTTCCGGCTCTAGGTAAGACGCTTTTGGGCTCATTCGCCTCCTTCCGTTCGCTTGCCATTTTGGTGGTATCTGTAAGGGGAAAAGGGAGCGAAGGGAAAGAAAGTGCAAGAGAGGAGGGGCATGTGAATAAGCTTGGGTACAGTACATTCAGTTCCAACCTGTCTGTGCTCCAACTGTCCTGCCCACTGTTTCTAACCAGCTTTTTGCAGATGTATAAGGCGGCGATCAATTTTGATGTGTACAGAACGGAAATGTTTTGTCCGGTGGCATACTGTAGGTTTTTAGTTCTCAGTGCTTGTTTCGCTAAATCTTAAAAACATCGAATATCTGTATTATTTGTGCTAGTGCAAGCCAGTGAGTTAAAATAGCCATCAGGCTGCTTTCAAGCAATCCTGAGCTATCGGCAGACTTGCCAGTGAATGGCTGCTGTTGGAACTTCCTGCTTCTTTCTGCGTGCCTCCACCTCTAGCGAATACGGAGGGATCTTGGCTTTTTCACTTATGAATTATTATCCATATAATCAGCAGGGGTAACGAAGCCTACTTGTTCTGCAAACGAGACTGGCAAAATAGTCAAAATGGGTTGGAAATTTCTACAGTAAAAAAGAAGAAAAATTTAGCTCCGACGTGTAAATACTGAACAAAAAAATGATGCGTAACATGGAAAAATGCCAAATTTGCATAGCAGATAATTGTAAAATATAGTAAAGCGCTATTCCGCTGCAGCAACCTCAATTCATTCACTGGGCGTCAAATTTGAGAGCGTGGTTTTGTAAAATTCAAATGCAGCGCATCAAATTGCAGTTAAGCCGAACTCGGTAATGGGTGAAGATGGCTTTTCAATCGAAGAGGCATACCGGGTAGTTTCTAAAAATGGTCCAATCGAAACGTATAAAAGGGACCTAAACAAAGTTGGCGCTGGCCAATTCTGGATGTATACCGAAGAATATTTTTATCCTCGACAGTGTAATTGTTTTGAAAAATTTGTTAATAATTTCAAAAAGACCAGAAATGCTTTTTTTATTGTCTTCAGAATTCCCCTTCGTCTCAATACCTAAATAAACTTTGTGGTGGAAGAAAATTGAAAAAAGTATGCAGTGCTCGAATAAAACAAACAAATTTCTGAATAAAAAAATATGTTAAAATTCTAGTTTACATAATCAAAGTTGGCCCAAATTATACAAATACGACAAATGAAATTACCGAAAAAGACAAATCCTATGAGTATATGGTTGTTACGGATGCAAACAGATTATCGCTGAGTGTCTATGCGCGCGATCCAATGATTTTTTATCAAGTAACCATTTTATTTTGTTGAAATGTTTCTATTTTCTGATCTTTTTCCTTTCTATTTTACGTTGCTGAACTGCATGTTCAGAAATATAACAAAGAAACTGTGGAATTTCTGGAGCATGCTGGATTTGGTGGCAAAGTATTCTGGAATTCTCCACGACCAATTTACCAAGGAGCTGACTGCGAATGGCCATCAGAAAAAGAAGTATTTGCACGACGGTAATTTTACTGCATGTAAAAGTTTTAGTTTTTTGGAATATTCATCTGGAAAAGCCGAGTAAAAAAAATTGTAAAAAATGAATTCAGAAAAAATATTTGCATAAAGAATTTTCTCTTTCAAATTGCTGGCAAAAAGTAAATTTGACCAAACCAATTGCACTAAACAAATTGTGCAGCAAAAAAAAAAAAAAAAAATCCCACTTTCCAAGAAATCCGCCAGCACTTATTCCGCCAGATTTGTATTCGATTTTTTTTCCAGCATACTAATTTACTCTTTTTTTTTAGAAACTGTGAAATTACGAATTGGGCTGACTTTGAGTCCTTGCTGTCGTACGTTGCCGGAAGTAGAGGGAGATGCCGAATGTCCTCTCGTTTTACTCAGCTCCTTCATTTTCCTTTCATTCCTTTCCTCCTCTCATACCTACGAATTCGGAACTGTAAGTAAGGAAGAGGGCGGAAGAATCCATTGTACAAAAGCCGGATTTGAATTTGTTTCTAGCAGCTCCTCGGTTCTGAAATTTTTACTTTTCATTGATTAGCGATTTTGTACCAAACTAGACTTCAAATTCTGACAACCCTATTCGAGTTCACTAAGCGTAAGCAATTTTAATTTGCAAGATGAAATCTACCTTCACAGCACTACGTGCAGAACTGTCCTGGGATGCACATAGTTTTTAAGGCTTAATTAGCTCGCCATTTTAAATTCAAAAACTTATTTTACAGATAAAAATTCAGAGGAGTACATAAGCTGCTTTAGTTTTATATTTTTCCCTGCGCTCGGAAACTATGATTTTGACTTTTCAGCTTTTGGGTCCCTGGAAAATCCCAGGGTCCAGAAGTGACATAATCCGCAAAAACAATACAAACACATTTGCAAGAACTGGAATTCCATAACGGATAAAAATAGTTGTGCTAGGCAAAGGACAAATTTATTAATAATGACGACATTTTAAGAGGAGTTTCTGCACAGACACCATTTTATGGCCAACAATTTTGCAGAGTGTTGAAGAACCAGGAATTAGCAGAAAGAGCACGACTGGAGGCAGCAGCTGGATCGGGTTCCGAAAAACCTGCACTCACGGGCTCTTCCTCATCAACGACGGATACCCGTAGTGCAATTGCAGAAATGCTTCAGAATCCGCAGCTGGCATTACAGAAACTGGTGCAAGGGCACTGACCTCATCGATGTTGTCGCAGAGACGGGATGCAGGGCACCACGCCAACGGACCACCCTCACCGTTTACCGCGGATGGCTCCATGGATGGTGGCGTACTCACTGCACTACAGTCATTTGTAAATCTATGTCGTGTCGATTCAATTCCACCCGCCCAAAAGGCCGTAGCAGTAGTGATGGTCCTTTGGTTCGGGCTCCGGGCGGTGGTGCCTGTCCGTTTGTCTCTGTGGACATCAACTGTACTTGTACAACCACGGTGTATCTGTGTTCGATAAACGTGTCGCTGAAGGGCAATGGCCTAATGCGCTAATTTGTTGGTATCACGCACAACAATACATACAGTGGCAGCAGTAGTTGGTCCGAGTGGACTGGATCCGCGCGCATCACTCTCTGAGCACTCTCTTTCTTGCTTCCCGGGGCCACATCCTCGTTGGCATATCCTTCGCCTAGTGCTCGCACTGCTTCACAGCTCTTCTTGTTTGCTTGTTTATAGTTTCAGGAAGATACTGAAATTTTAAAATTTAGTTCAGAGTGGACGCTTCACAGCAAAACGGACAGTGATTTGCTGTGGCGCGAACCAGCTGTGTGTCAGTATCAGTATCAATAATTTTGTTTCGTAAATCTGCTTTGGACTGTAACCCGTGATTCGCTGCACTAATCGCATTTTTATATTGTTTTCATTAAACGCCATTTAGGGCAAATGAAACAGAGGACAAGCTTTAGCAGTTGATGTAGCATCGGTGCCCGTCTAAGTTTCATTATGGATGTGACACATTTGTTGCTGATCTTAACGATCCATGCGATGCCATTAACGGCGGCCCAGCTTGACGTTTTCGCACTACCTCAAGCTCCCCGTTATGCAGCAAAACCAACAGTGCCACCGGAGTACAAGAAATATTTCGAACTGGAGGACCACGCGCGCGGTTTGGTTGAAAGTGTCATTGGGCCAAGGCCTGGTGGTTTCTTTCCTCCCAAAAGCTATGAAATTGGTCGTCCAGTGCGAGCTAATCCTGAGGCGAGCAATACTGCTCTGAATGAAGTTGAGCGGTCTCTGGAACAATTCCTTAGTGCACCAACCGGATTTTCTCAGCTGCCACCTGGTTTCAATCAAGGTTTCTCGGTTGCCAATGGCGGTAATCCTGTTGCATCATTTTCTAACATTCGTAAACATCCGGTACGTTTATTATTTCGTTTTGTTGCAACTGCTATTCTAAATAATCTCAAGGACGTTGTAAATTTATCTATCACTGCTTACTCGGATGGTTTTAGCTCTGTAGAAAGTCGCTTAAAAACAAAAAAAAGCTTCGATTTATTCAAAAAGACGGAAGTGCAATCAAAGGCATCATTTTAAAATTTTATGCCTATTTTTTTCAAGAAATACTTGGAACAGTCATTAGGCATGGCTCTACTGTTAGGTTGATGAAGTTCCATTTCTCCACTCTCTTTATAATTTGTGCATTCGTTTCGATAGTAAATTGGTACTGGCGTGTGCAGTAGGGAGTTAAACTTGCCATTAGCTTTCAGCTTGCTTTTAACCAGAGGAGCCGTTGGGAGCATTACCAGCGTGTAGTCGCTGTTGCCATTTCTATCTTCAACTATTTCTGAGTGTCCTTCTTTCTCATAAGGAGTCATTACGAAGGAGGTTTTGGTTTTTCTGATCCTGAATTAAAATTCAAACAACACTGCTTTTAGTAAATCAAAATAGCTTTAAACTGAAAATATTAAGTTCCAAATTCATGTTCTCAGCAACTGTCTGTCACTGTTCCTCCTTAACAACTCAAAATTAGAGATTGAAACCAACAGCGTCGACAGATGATGAAGTCGAAGGGTCGGGCGACGATACTCATTCATCAATCCGCGGTATACCGAAAGTTTATCCTGATTTAGCAAAACCACCAGTCGAATTAATACGCCCTCACTTGCGACCAGTTGCTGCCGAGCAGGTGTTTTTTCTAAAAAATTATCTTGTGACTGGAGTTATTCTGAATCATCTCTCTCACTCATTGCTAGTTTTCAACTCTGTTATCGGTTGTTAAACAATCAGATGAAGTCGACCAGTGAGTGAACGGGAGCAAATTGTCCACATTTCTTAAATTTATCAGAAGATAATTCTGTGAAGTAAAGTCTTTCAAAAGATAAACAAATAATAAGTACTGTCGAGCAGGATGGGAGACAGAAGGTTTTTGGGACTGTGGTACTTCAAATTCCCTGACCACTGAATTCTTTAGCGAAACTGATCATTCAAGTTAATTGATCATTCAAGTTATTGGTCGCGTGTACAGCATGCAATAAAAGCAATTTTCGCGAAAGTACAATTTAGAGTAAAGATACTGTATGATCATGTTTCTGATTTCAAAATTATCAACTGTGGATGTGAAGAGTCCTTTCGTAACCCTGTTGCAGTCAAAATTTTCTTGAATCTGCGTGACTTGTTTAACTGCATTAGCTACGCGCGCTTCTCAGGTACCAATGATTCCAAAATTTGAATCACGGCCTGAAGTTCCTGACGGTGGTTTTGGACCCAATCAGAATGATGTTCGCCGTGCTCCGCCGACGGTGAAAGAAAACATTGATGATGGAACCGAAAGCGATGAAGTTTGTCTAAAAATTTAATTTGCTAAGGCTGTGCTTCAGGCATAAGAGGAAGTCAGTTGCCTCGAAGAGGAAGTGTTTTTAGTATTTTTTTGGATGAAAGCAGCTAAAAACTACTTTTTTAACTAAGATTTTTACTTTAATAAGCGACTAACAACAAATGCGAACTATTTCAAAGAGAAAATGCGGTGATGGAGCTACGTATCGCAAAAAACGCTTTTTTCATTTGATCCCTCCTTTCGCTGCAATAATAATCCAAAAATCGCTTAACTATGATGCAAAAACTGTGTAATGGAGGGGCTGAAAATTTTGTCAAGAAATGCAAAATTCTGTCAAGAATTATGTAAAATTGGTTAAGAACTGCTAATTGGCTTTCAAAAAAAGAAAAAGCAAAATTTAGCAACAACAAATAAAATTGGAAAAGGAACCCGTTCCTGCTAGGAAGTTTTGAACTTGAGACGCTTTCTTTTTGTGACGGAAACAATGCACACTTCCAACCAGCAACTGTTCTTCGCAAAGAATTAACACACTATTTTTTGTGATGTTTTTCATGTAGCTCGCGGACATGGTTTACTAGAAAGTAGCGCTGCTATTGCACTAAAACTCTCTGGAATAAACAATGCGTCTGCGATTCGAGCATTCATTTCGGCAACAAAAATGGTACTCGCAGAAGGCAGAAGTTCACAGCAGCTCGCTTCTAAGCAAACCTTCAAGTTGACTTGCATGTGGCCAGTTGTTATTAATATGTACTGCTTTTTGAGCTGAACTTCACAGGGAATGTATCACGGAGGGAATTCCCTGAAATTTCCTTTTCCGCTGGAAAAAACACTAAATTGCAGTACGGAGCGTTAACAGATGACTCATCATCATCGTCATCCGGTGGTCTAATCGGTACAATAATCAATCTGATTGGATTGAACAACAAAAGGGGGAAACTGGAACCTGATACACGCGGTCTAACCAAAGCCGTTGGTAGCCTGATTGGAGGCGAGAACAGTCCGATCCCAGCGAAAAATATGATTTCTGATGTTTTGTACAAGGCGCTCACTAGCGGGTCGATTCAGGTAATTTTTATCTTCACTACTTAACAAATTCATCCTTCTGAAAACCATTAGCGTTGTCTCATATCCGTGCAAAGCAATGTTCTGGAAAAGTTAATTGCAAAACATCCTCTTGTTACACTCTCTCCGCATTTTCACCCAAACGAACAGTCATTTCTTATTTTCATGTTCACCAGCGAACTCACGTCTCGCCCAAGTGGATTAAGTTTTTAAATGCTAAATGAAATAGTCGACTTGTCTAATGTGTGCGTTCACCTAAGTCTTTTAAGAAACAGTAAAATTCTGGATTTTGCCCCATCCAAACAGTTTTCCTTCACCTAAGTTTATTTTTTACACAAGCATCTTTCTTCAACCACAACATTTAAATCGTAATGTAGTGGATATCTTCTACTGAATCATACTCTTCATGCAAAATTACAGTCAAATGGAAGCGATGAGAATGCCGCAAATAAATCTACGTCTTTAACGCTTACGCCAGCGCAACAGGCTGCCATCGGCGAAAATCTGGAAATGATTCAAAACCTAATTACCCAGCCGTCTTCACCTCTCTGTAACCCAAAACCTGTGCCAGTTGAGGAATTTGATGTCGATGCTTTTATGGGACAGTGGTACCAGGTTTGTTCATTTCTCCACTGGAAACGTAAAATTTTTCATTTTTAAAGGTCATCATCAAAATCGTCTCGTATTCGCTTTTACTAAAAGGCGGGAATTTGGAAAATAATTCAAGTGATAGCAGTCTTCCTTCAATGATTTTTTAGCAGTTAACCTATGGCGATTTTTCTGGCATATGCCAGTACCATTTTGCTGTCGGAGGAGCGAGCGAATTGTGCTCGTTCCATTATTAACGAAGTCGAACCCTCGGCTGTGTGAAGGATTTTTATGGAATGCTAAAAATGATTACTCCTGGATTTTGGACTGTTCAGGATGTCAGGAAACTCATTTAACATAAGGGACTGTTTCAAAAACAACTGAAGATGTAGAATTAAAGTGGTTTTTAAGGTAATGTACAGTCCACCACTGGCGACTGGACCGTGCAGCATGGTTGCATACAAAAAATTGGCCGATGTGAATAATGGCGGTGTTGGTACAATATTTGAGGTGTTCGAGTACACGACCGATGGCACACCTTATGTTAAACCACGTATCAGTTCTGGATACGCTATTGTTAAGCAAGCTGGAGAGCTAATTTACCGCACAACTAGTAATCAGGACGATGTTAACGGTAATCACTGTTGAAAACTTTGCATATTTTTCAGTGCACCCATTTAATTATAGACAAATTTTGGACCTTTTTGAACAGATTGTGCCGTGTTTTTTTTTCTTTCAAATCATTTTACAGCAAAATTTAAAATTCGTTTTGAATAAAATTTTAGTCCATATAATTCACGCCGGTCCGCTTAATGAAGCGAATCAGTACAGCTTTACAATACTTTCAACCAACTGCAATTATCCATTGTACGTATTCGCCCGTGATCCTGTCATCTACAAACAGGTTGTCACAATCATTTCATTCTGTATGCTAATAACAAGCTATTCTCTAAATCCGACTCTGTTGAAAATTTGTCAGTTATCAGAAACCGTAAAGAAATTAATGTCAAAATTGTCGCAACCATTTTTTTTGCCCTCCACGCACGGCGATGAGATCTCCTAACGGCTGAAACTATGTCATGTAATTCGCTCCAATGAACTGTTGAGCTAGCAGTTTCACAGAAGACGAAACAAGCGAAACGAAAGATCGCTAGCAACAAGCTGACCATCAGAAAATGCAGCATTGGTCAAAGCAAGTGGAAAATATGACATTTTCGTGGTTGGGGAATGTCGTGCTACTGATTAAAGTGGCAAAGCAACAAATTAATTTTTAAAAATTCGCCACTTCCTTATTCCTTCTCTCGGACGGACCCGTTCAAAAGAATGTAACTTTATTTATTCATTGTTTCCGCTTTGTAGCGCTATGAAGCGATGGTAAATCACATTTTGGAGCAGAAAGGATTGATCAATGGATTTTCTCGTCTGCTGAATATCGTTGCACCTGTGGATAATTCAGTGTGTACATTTCCACCAAGCCTTTTCGATGTGCATGGATAAATTAACTACAAATTGTTTTTTTCTCTTTAAAAAAAGCTGCTTCACAAATCATCATTTCGGAAAAATGGATTCTTTTGGGTTTTGCCGGAATCGGTTGTGTACTTTGCATACTTTTTAATTTCTTAGAACTTTTCGTTAAATAGCGTGAAATTTGTATGTTTTAAAAAAACGCAAAATTGCAAGTAGCGCAGTGCTGTTTGTTGTCCGAGGAACCCAGATGTTGATCTCTTTTTATTCGATTTTTTAAGCTCAAAATTTATCCGAAATTCGTTTTCAAAATTTAGGAATTTCTCCTGATATGTGGGAGTTCAGTAGTGGTTATTACATCGTAACTTTTATGTTCAGTTAATTCTGCCGGGTATTGCTTTTTTTTTCGTGATCCTGTTTCACTGCTTAGTACCTTTTCTTCCACTGCTCTGGATCTCCAAACAGGCCTCTCTATGACAGTTTTTCAGAGTTTGTGAGAGCTTACGCTTGGGCCACTAAGATGAGTAATGTGCGAGCTAGCTAATTTATTCTACGCTTTTATCTTTGCACTATTTTTAGTTTCCTTTAAGAATCCGCATTTTAGCTAACTATAAATTTTGCCAACCAGACCAGTACTGCCATCCTTTTGGTCTGATTTTTTCATCCTTCATAGATCAGTCTGAAAGGTATTTTCTAGCCTTGTCTGTACTGCCAGGCCGAACACATGTGCATTAACGTTGTAGATAATTCATTTGATCAGTATTTCATTCCGCTTTTTTTTGTTCTTTGCGAAGCTACTCGTTTTGTTGTTGCTTTGAATTTCTGGCCAAAATTGTTGATATTGTGCAAATATTGACAAATAATATTACGCCACTGTCTTTCTACATTTGTCAGCTTTTACCTTATACCAACCGTACAAAGTCCAGTCGAACAATCGATATGTTAGTGATGTTACTGGAGTGCCTTCATCGATTCGGTGGTAAGTTGATATTGGCGAATTTCAGAAAGGCAAATCCAACATCAGTTTGCTTGCAAGCAACCATCGAATGAGGGAAACATTGGCAGGCTTGGCAGTGCTAAGCTCCTGTCACGGAACCCTTCCGCCTTAAATAAAAAGCGAATCCTGGGGTGGACTTGATTGGTCTTAATCACGACCGTTTTCTCCAAAATCGGCTTGAGAATCGGTGAGCGATATTACAGAGATGCAAAACAGAAGTTGTGGTAGTAGAAAAGTAATGTAATAATTTAAAACGGTAATAGTAAAAAACGAAAAAAGCTAGCTCAGCCTGGCGCTTCCATAAAAAGTTTAAACGCACCATGGTGGGTATGGATGCAAAATCATAATATAGCAGTCTTTTGAGTCAAGTTGTCGTTGCGAACACTCAATGACGTGAGGTTATAGGTCAGCAAGAACTGAAATCCTGAAGCGTCCTCCGCGTGTTGTTTATCAGTTATTGGTACTGTGGGAAAATCTTCGCTAGCCTTGTAAACTGCCGTGTTGCGAGCTTCTGTGGGAAAAGGGGCTCGTGGGAACAATATCAAAATAATTAAGGAAACAGTACACAAAGCGTGCTAGGCTAATAAGACACTGTTAATCAGCTGGGAGGGGCATAAAGCCTTTTAACTTTACTGTTCAAATTTTAACACATCTTGGCTTGGAATAGTACTTAGCTGAATTAGAAAGATGGTTTGAACGTCAGTGCTAAATGAGTAAAATAAACACGCTTTGCAAATAACGCTGTCAGGCAGAACTAAACGAAATGAAAAGATGCTGCAAGAGAACATTCCCCGTCCACATATAACTCAAAGATTTCAAATTCAGCGCCCAGGTGTGCGCGGTTCCCCTGTTTGGCCCCATGGGGTTTCCTGGCACGAAAATCGCTAACTTGGGAGCCTAGAAAGCCAGGAGATTGAAATTTTCAGGGAATGTTCCCAGCACATGTACAACCTAAAATTATCGAATTCAGCCCCCAGGCATGCGTGGTTTTCATGTACGGCCCCGTGAAATTTTTTGGCAGAAAAAAGGCTAACTTGGGGACTAGGAGACTAAAATTTTCAGGGAATGTTCCCAGTACATGAACAACGCAAAGTTTCTAAGTTTAGCCTCTCTCTGTGGGTGGTCCCCATGCATAGCCCCGTGGAAATTTTTGGCGGGAATACGGCTAACTCGGAAACCAGGAAAACTGCAAGGCTGAAATTTTAGCCGGATATTCCTTATCCAAGTACCGCATAATAATTAACTTCCCGAGCTCCGAGCACCAGTATTTCGCACATTCTAGCTACTGAGTTTCCTAGCGACCTCATTACAGCACGAAATACTGCAAAAACGCATGATCGCACGGGCCCGCCCGGTGCGCGT